ACGGCCCTTCGCCCGGGGGAGGGGGGGGGCAAGGACCGGCCTCCCCCACACTGTCCTCCATCCCTCCCATGCCCATTGCTCTGTCTCCCCCCCGCAGGCCGCATCATGTACGTCATCCCGTACAGCATGGGCCCCATCGGCTCCCCCCTTTCCAAGATCGGGGTGCAGCTCACCGACTCCCCCTACGTGGTGGCCAGCATGCGCATCATGACCCGGATGGGGGCCCCCGTCCTCCGTGCCCTGGGCGACAGGGAGTTTGTCAAGTGCCTCCACTCTGTGGGGCGTCCCCTGCCGCTTCAAGGTGAGTCCTGGACCGTTGGTGGGTGCGGTGGGATAACTCCCACGGCCACATGCAGCCAAATTCATCCCGTGGGGAGGAGAGGGTGTGCTGGGGACACACAGCTGCTAATGGGGGGTGCTGTAGGATAACTCCCCCAGAATGAGATGCTCACAGAGATATAGGATAACACCCCAAGAGAGATCCCCAACATTGGTGGGTGCGGTGGGATAACACCCCCCAGAGACACATACACAGGCCTCATGTGGAGTAATTCCCCCCCCCAACCAATCCCTGCCAGATGCTGGTGTGAGCAGTGGGATCAGACCCCTGGTGCATTCACCCCCTAACCCCCGTCTCTGCCCCCAGAGGAGCTGGTGAACAACTGGCCCTGCAACCCCGAGAAGACCCTGATCGCCCTGTTTACTTCCCCGCCCCCCAGATGTTTAACGAGCAAATATTAGTTAATCAGTGCCTGGGCCCTGTTGACACGCCAGGTACACAGGGCTGTGTCTGACGGTGGGGCAGGCCGGGGGGCCCTAGCCCGACCCCCCAGGGGCACTGGCCCTAGGTGGTGGGTCAGAGGGCAGATATGGCTAATTACGGGTGCAAAGGATGCTGGGTTACTTCCCCGCCCCCCAGATGTTTAACGAGCAAATATTAGTTAATCAGTGCCTGGGCCCTGTTGACACGCCAGGTACACAGGGCTGTGTCTGACGGTGGGGCAGGCCGGGGGGCCCTAGCCCGACCCCCCAGGGGCACTGGCCCTAGGTGGTGGGTCAGAGGGCAGATATGGCTAATTACGGGTGCAAAGGATGCTGGGTAATCTGAGTGGCCACAGAGGACGTTGGGTCAGAAGGATTCCGGCGCCAAGGGCTGTGGGTAATGGGAAAGGGAATTGCAAAGGATTGTGGGTAGCAGGCTAACCCCACAATCCTTTGCAGCATGGTGTTGGGTTACCTGGCTACCCACAATCCTTTGCAACACGTCTCGTGGGCTCCCCGAAAACAAGGGAATTGCAAAGGATTGTGGGTAGCAGGCTAACCCCACAATCCTTTGCAGCATGGTGTTGGGTTACCTGGCTACCCACAATCCTTTGCAACACGTCTCGTGGGCTCCCCGAAAACGTTGCAAAGCACTGCGGGCCCCGTTGCAAAGCATTGTGGGTGGTTTTCTGGGCCCTGCCGCTCTCTCAGGGAGCCCCTCGTGTTCCCACTTTCCCCCGACGCCCCCCCAGATCCTGGGCATCACCAACCCCGAGGGGCGGAAGAAGTACGTGGCGGCCGCGTTCCCCAGCGCCTGCGGGAAAACCAACCTGGCCATGATGAACCCCACGCTGCCCGGCTGGAGGGTGGAGTGCGTGGGGGACGACATCGCCTGGATGAAGTTTGACAGCGAGGGTGAGGTTCGGGGGGGCGGGGAGGAAGGGAGCCAGGGCACCCCCA